GGGTTATTTGTAAAGTAAAGCCTTTGTAACCCAATGAATATTTCCCATACCGGCGCAGAGCATTCAGCTGTTTATGTCGGTGGCGGTCAACCAGCCGGGCATCGACTACCATGTGGTGCTCGCCCAGAATGCCCTGCAACATGCGTTGGATATGCCCGAGCTACAGACGGAAATGATCTGCATCCTGATCAAGCAGACCTCCCGCCACATGGGCCAGAAGCTCAGTGTCGGCGTCCAGGTAAACAAGAAGCTGGGCAAGCAAACGCGCGTAAGTTTTTCAGTTGCAAAGCTTCTTATGTCCTTCAAAAATCTTCCTTCCCTGATCCTGCATCCCCTTGGATATGTTTAGTTGAATGTCCTTGTTTTTTGGTGTAGATATTCCTCCCTAATTCCTCATTAACAACTTGCAATAACAGCCCAAGAGCGTCTCGCAAAAGGTGAGAACTGTACCAAGGGTACAGTCACCACCAATGCCTCAAATAGGTATACTTTTAACCCAAAGTAGGTATTGCCAGCCAAAAAAGCTTTGCTTCAAGGAACCCGCTTACGAACGGTTTATTCAAAATATCATACCTAAGCATACTTAACAATATATCAATATATCAAACATACATACCACAAACACTATCAGCTAACAGTACCTTCTAGATGTGCATGCTTAACTAAACCTAACTAATCTAATCTAGCCTCTTACTTTTCAGTAACTCGTTTGGTTTTGAGTTTTCCTTTAGTAGCTCAGACAACAAATTTCCCCCATAACTGTCAGAAATGTTTCTGTATGTACATATATATAGCTTTCAGTACGTTACTGTTAAACTTTCTATATCATCAAATGCGAAAGAGACCCAAACAGCTCATTGTATAAAGTATTTGCTGTAAATTTGACAAAATCAAAATATGAATACATGAACCACTAAACCACTAAAATCACTCAAAACTACTGATCAGACATAATCTCTATTACGCTGCCTTTCAATACCCTTTATATTTGCCAGTGTTGGCAATTTAAGCTCTACTTGGTTTTGTGTTTCCTGATCGTTTATAAAGCTGTCATGATTTTCCTGCTTCTTTCCACCTTTATAATTCGCTTTGAATGTGCTCTGTGTCTGTGCCTTTGTCTCGTTATCCTTCGCATTAAGCTTATTGAACGAATATATCGAAGCAATCCGTAACACAACACTGTCAACAGAAAACAACATCAACCACAAAACAAAACAAAACAAATCAAAATCACACCACCAATTAATGATGAGTAACAAATTGATCAGAAATGTTCTCTGGCTTCTTCTTTTCTCCATCTTTTTGTTGCCTTGCGTTGCGTTTCGAACGTTGCGTTTCCGTTGAATGTGTTTCGCGTGTAATCGAACCGAACCAACCACAACTGAACAAAATGTTTTTCAACACTGTACGTACGACCGACCCCGAAATTTACAGCAACTACTGTTGTGCGCCACCCAAAGCCTATTCACCTGTGATACCCAACAGGCGGGCCATGCCCAAGCCAACGGCAGTTCACCCACCTCCATACAGGTATGCGGGGAAATTTATGGTCTTTCTAACCACTTTACAATACCATCTAACGGTCTACTTGCTGTACTGTAACATTCTTTGTTGTGCGAGTACAGTTGCGTTCAATTTCTGTAGACACTTAGTTCTAACTTTCCTAACCTCACTTCTACTAACTTCTACTAACTCAAATTCAATGCCGAACCCCAATGCCGAATCGAAACCGATCCGAACTCATTTCTGAATGACACCATTTTAGGCCCCATCCGCCACACCCATAATCGACTGCAAGAGCAACCCGCCCGTATACAGCTTTGTCCAGGGCTGGCAGCTCCTGGCACTGGCCGTATCCCTATTCGTTCCGCGTTCGAGCCGCCTTTTGTGGTACCTCAAGCTTCATCTGTCCCGGAATGCCGATACCAAAACTGAGACGGGCAAGTACGCCGCCTACTGTGAGCGTGCTCTGGAAAGGACCTTAAAGAATGGAGGGCGCGAGACGAAGCCTTCGCGGATGGAAGTACTGTCGATATTGCTGAAAAATCCGTATCACCACTCCTTGCCGCACGCTATTCCAGTGCATATGATGAACAGTACCTACCAGGTAAGATGTTCGGTGTTTGATCAGCCAAGCAACATCAGTTTCTCACACTATTCTATGTTAAAACCACAGGTCGTTTCCTTCGATGGATCCACCACCATCGAGGAGTTCCAGGCCACTTTGGCCCACGAGCTGGGCACAAGGGATGCAACTAACGGGTTCTGCCTGTTCAGCGACGATCCTATCGAGAAGGATTTGGAGCACTACCTGGAACCACTGGCCAAGTTGTGCGACGTGATCAGCAAGTGGGAGACGGCGCTGCGAGAAAAGGGATCAGGCAAGTTCGAGAATTCTCGGGTGATTCAACTTAGCTACAAGAACCGTCTGTACTGGAAGCACACCATCAAGTGCGAGACAGATAAGGAGCGTTTGCTGCTCTGCTATCAGACCAATTCCCAGATTGTCCAGGGCAGATTCCCTCTATCTAGAGAGCTGGCTTTGGAGCTGGCCTCGCTAATGTCTCAGATCGACATGGGCGATTATTCGCTCGAGAAGTCAAGGGATGTGGGTGTGGGCCTTAAGGGTCTGGACAAGTTCTACCCATACCGCTATAGGGACGCCCTAGGTGCCGAGCAGCTGAAAGATGTGCAGGAGCTGCTGGTCTCCAAGTGGATGCTCCTCAAGGGACGCTCGACCTTGGACTGTGTGCGCATTTACCTCACCTGCTGCCGAAAGTGGCCGTATTTCGGAGCTTGCTTGTTCCAGGCGAAGCCCAGACAGAATCCTGAATCCAACGCCGCCTCGGGAGCTACCCCGGTAGCCTGGTTGGCTGTCGCAGAAGATGCGCTCAATGTCCTCGAGCTGTCCACAATGGCTCCGGTCGCCAGGTATCCCTATAGCTCTGTTATGACCTTTGGGGGCTGCCAGGACGACTTCATGCTGGTGGTTTCCCACGATGACGGCGGAGGCTGTGAGCAAAAGCTTCTATTCGCAATGAGTAAGCCGAAAATATTGGAAATCACACTGCTTATAGCAGACTACATGAACGCCCTGGGACACACGGTGCCTGGCACTCCGCAGATGAATTCTCTGACCAGGAATGGATCGCATCGCTCTCTGAGAACCTCCCAACGGCCGACCTTGGGTGGTGGCTCAGCAGTGGCCACCGGGTTCTCTACAAATGCCACCACAACGGCCCACAATACGCTCAACTCGCATGCGACACACACGCTTAACTCAAACCACTCGCACACGCTAAGCAGCTCACATCACGCCGGCGGGGGCAGTCAACCGGGCACTTTGAGTTCGGGTCATCACCAGCACCACCATATCCAACAGCACCACCAGCCTGATATCCTGAAGAGCACGCCGGATCACCAACGGATTAAATAGATCAGAGCACGATTGGAGGATGTCCAAATGAACGATGGTTCCCTACAGATCGAGGATTACAGAAAAGATAATCAAAAAAAAGCAAAAATGAAAGAGGAATGGGAGGCGGCGAATTCCAGATAAAGGATCACACATTGTACATAAAGGTGGAAAATCACAGCTAAACAGACATATACAACTAACAGATACATATGCACCGGCCTAGTGGCTACAAGTATGAAACTAAAGATAGAACGATAGAAAGATATAAAGATAGACGGATAGCGATAGCGGTAGAAATACGACTTAGCCTAATCGGCCTGGGATGGACCTTCTTCTCCTTGCGCACCACTCACTAAAGTTATTTTCTAAGCTAACGACGGTACTCGTACTCTAAACCTACTTTGTAAACCGCAGCAAGCATATATATAAATATATATTATATATTATTTTTTTGAATAGTCCTAAGCCCAGCATACCCGAAAATGAATGAGGTATGTGAAGAAACGAAAACAGAACAAGAATCTCAACGTTTAGATTGTTCCTGTCCTATTTATTTTTTTTTTTTTTTTGTTGTTAGTTTACACCAACCTTCAAGCAAAAGGCAATGCAAAACACCCCTATAGAAATGATATGTTTGAGTGGTATTGCTCTTCGATGCTTTTTAATGAATCTCAATTTGTAATTATCCCTCCATGCGCGAAACTGCCTTCTGAATTTGTAGATGTCGGAGCCAAGAACGAGAAAAATATAAATATACAAAACGAAGCCAAAAAACAAAGAAAACAAGCGAACTAGCATTAGCAGAAACCAATCGAGAAAAGCAAATATTTTTTAAAGAATTTTTGAGCCTGGTGCAGGACGGCTATCAACCAAGCATCCCCATCTATATCTATACCTAAATAGTTATAGTTACGCCCCGCCCAACTCGTATGGTTTCCGCTTCAACTCAAACCTCGATTTTATAGACCACGTATTTAGTTTTCGAACGCGTTTTTAGCCACTTCAGTGTCAGAAACATGGGCAAATCCCACTCACCAACCACCAGAGCTTCAGCAGAAACCCAACACCCGAAAATCAGAGAAGGCAACATAATTCAGCAGATCATTACTTTCCCCACTTTTGCCCAGTTAATTATTGCAGACTTTGCCACACACCCCCACAAAAGCATATGCATTCATATATAGTTATATAGGGAGCGTATATATGTATTCGGATTCGATATTTAACAAAATTATACACACCAAATTACGATATAGCAGTGTATATGGCAACAGCGCATTTTTTTCATAATTGTAAAGATTTGATATTACAAATTTATATGCGCCGAGACGCAACGAAAACGGAAATTTAGCGGGACGAGACGAGATGAGGCGAGAGGATCGAGAAATTCATTGGGAAGAATCGTAATCGAAGGCTGGCTTGCAGGTGGATATAAACTATATAGGCGAATGTATCACATCACACTCAGTGAATCGAAATATATATAAAGGGAAATTAACGATTAAAACTAAACCAAACACACAAGATGCCGTTTCAATCTTTCGGGCTTTCTTTTGGGTAGTGTATTGTACAAACAGTTTTGTCTACTCTTTATTAAACAACGTAAATTGATTTATTTGCCTTAATTTTATACATATAAATTGCCTAAAACTGTTATTGTTTACTTTCTTTCCTTTTCTTTTCATTGTTTTGTTGCGGTGTTCTTGCAGTTTGTATCAATCAACCCGCCGGATTCGGATTCGCTATGCAGTCAGTATCTATCGCATGGCGATCCATTTACAATCTAGACATTTATACACACACACGGATCGGCGTTCATAATTTACAGATTTGGGTCGTCGTCGTCGCCCGACTTGGCTCAAAGGTCGTCTAAACTAAACCCGATTCGTAATCAAATATTAAGAAAGCCTGCGCAAACAAAGGCAGCGCAGAGCGAAATGAAATTTGAAATGGGAGTTAATAGTTAATGGAATCCCAGACCGTAAATAACGCAAAGGTAAGTTAATATTAGAAGTGAAACCAGCCTCGGGAACGATGCGTATGCGATGGTAGGGGTTTTGCTGTTCACTTTTTCGCCTGCTTATGATTCATATGGTTGGTAGCGCGTGTGCTCGCTCTGGAGTACAGGTGTACTGGGGTACGCGTAATCTAAATGTCTTTTGGTCTTGCGCCTTTGACGCTTGACGCACACAAAGAACGCGCCGCTCCGAGTGGCTGCAACTGCTTGATATTACAGAACCCAGAAGTACATGATGAACACTAGAAATATTATGCCCACGGCCGCCGCTTTCACGTACATGGACTTGCGGTTGAGCAGCTTGGCGTCCTTCTTGTACTTCTGCGACATCATCGACAGGTTCTGGGTCTTGGTGTCGAGTTCTGAAAGGGAAAACGGAGTGAACGTCAGTTAGGTAGTGCTGCCGCGTGCCACAATCTAGCGCAGATAGTCGCTCGCTCTGGAGATAGTCATAGTTACCCGCCAGCACTGTGCCACGTTGGAGCACGTCGTCAATGTTTTGCACCATGATGCGCTGCACATCCTGCAGCTGTGTGTTGATGCTGCTGATGTTGCGTCTGCGGTCCGTCAACTGTTTTTTCGCCTTCTGTATGTACACGTCGAACTCGATGAATGCGTATGGCCGCGTCACTGAGTTCACCCGCCGGCCGTAGTTGGCATGGAACTCCTGGGCCAGGTCCTCCAGGTAGTTGAAGGCCAGTCGCTTTGAGTACATCTTGTCCACCATCACCAAATAGCAGACGTCGTTCTCGATTAGGTAGCTGCATGGATAACGTGGAATCATTTAACTGGGGCGCCCATTGCATCATCCGGGCATCATCGGCTTTTTGCGGATAGTGAGAGTTTCACTAAAGTTCATATCAAACTACGAGAATACTTTTCCCCACGGAACCAAATCAACTAGCACTGACTAGCCGCAGAGCCGAAAAACCTTTGTACATGGTGTGATTTTATAGTGCATGCCCTTGTAAAGGGGCCACGATGTGTGTGGCTACTCACTGGAATAGGTAGGGTCCGGTCTCGATGCTGCTTCGTGCCGGCGAGTGGGTACCCAGCTTGCGGAAGAGCATCTTGGCCTGGTTTTGGTAGTCCAGTATGCTGCGTCCGCTCTGAAAGTGAAAGTGACTTAGTGACTTGGTTGCGGCAGCGAAACGGAACGGATTAGAAAGTGGTGCACACGGCTAGGCTACCTGCTCGTCATCCTGCATGGTCCCCACCAGAGGCAGGCCATCGATGACTCTGGCTATCATGGTCAGCAGCGCCATGGCTTCTGCTGTGTCTGGTTACGATTGCTCGCGGGGCTGCGTTTCAAGTCTTCTTGGCCACGGCTGCACTTTGCCGCCGCCTCCTCCTCCTTCTCCTCCGTTGACTGAACACTGGCTTGGGGGCTGAAGTTTGCGTCAGGGCGTCCTAGTCGTCTCGTCTCCTCTTCTCTACTTTCCACTACTGGCCGGAGTGCTGCTCCGCTGCCCGGGATTTCTAAATCGACTCCGCCTCGAATCGGGCACGCTCGATGGTAGCATGAAAACTGTGTTGCAACGTCGCGGAGTGGTTGGCGGTTGGCTGGCTGGGATCAGATCGGATTGGATTGGGGGGTTTCTGTGGATGTTTGTTGCAATGTAACCACGTCACCGGTATGTCCGTGGAAATACCGAATATACCAAATAGTGGGCAGCATACCGAAGAGTGCGAAATCCGCCGCGAACGGTCGCACTAACGGAAGTCCATGATACCAGTTTGTCGCATTTTTTTCGCTCGTTCAAATTTCTATGGGGAATGATTAATTGAACTCGTTTTTGAAGCAGCGTGCCCCTGAAAATAGAGTTTTCGCATTTCCGGGCTTTCCCGCCAGCTAGTTTTCTAGGCCTACAGCTTTGACAGCTTTCGCTCCGCCGTAAATTGAGGTATATTCACGGATTACGGAAAGAGGATCCCCAAAAGTTCTAATAGAAGTAGAAACTTGGTTTCATTCTTGAAACTTTGCATTACTCCATTTGCATTACTCTTTCGAGTTACAAACTGAGCCATCTTGTTATGCTACCACTTGATTTTAGCCGCAATCAAATGGTGATTTCTCCTTGTGGGGAAAGAGCCCATTCCTGTTCGTCACTGAATTATTAACCAACATAAATCGGAATCCCTGGCGCGTCGCGCCACTTTCGCAGACCCGTCTGCTCCAGACGGTTGCGCAATCCGCTCCAAATCCGCTGGCACAGATGCCGGAAGTGGGTTGGCTGCTTCCTCGGCTGCGGACCGCCCAAAAGTCGGTGACCAAGCCGAACCGGTTCGCCCGCAGAGACCATCTGCTGCATGGACATCCACATCCAGCCCAGTTGCGGCCGGCCCCAGAAGGAAAAGTGGTTCGCCCGCGAAACCAGACTTGGACTTGAGGCAGGGACCTAACTATATGGACTACCTGTGGTACTTGGCAGTGGAGTTGGAGGTGCGTGTGCGTTTGGGTTTAAAGTGACCACCGGACCAATCTTTGCACTGGGAAAATAATTCAAATCGAAGACGATTTATTCATTAATATTATGAATCGAATGCGAAGAACCATTCACATTTCTGAAAATGCACAAGAACTTTAAGATATATAAACTACATAAGTTCTAATCAAAAACTCGAAAGCCTATGGCGTTATTTGAAACCATTTTACCGGGATCTAAAATAAGATGCATTGCCCGAGGATTGCCGTCAACCTTATTTTTTATAGTGTAATCGGATCACCCGCCGCGAAATGCGTGCACTTCCGTTTTGCTCGACTTGGCCTCCTTCCTCTTTCCGTTGGAAGCAGGGAGACCAGACCCATCTATATATAAGCCACTGCTCCGCCTAGAGACTCCACAATACAAAGTCAGTCATGGCCGGGTCAGTTCGTGCGGCGCTCCTGGGTCTCCTGCTGCAGATCCTGTACAAAGGGCTAGCTGCTCAGCAGCTGCTCCTCGCGCGTCCCCAAAGGAGCCTGTTCGAGGCTCCGCTGGGTCAAGTGGAGCAAGTGGAGCACCTGCCCCCTTTGGGCTGGAATAGTGTTGGCGCCGGACTCGGAGTGGGCGAGTGGGGCTACAGCCCCGTTGGTCTGGGCCACATGAGCAAGGATGAGCTGCTGACCCTGCTGGAGGCCTGGAAGGAGGTGGAGCAGGAGTCGGCCGCGACAACGACTGCGCCGCCAGCAGATACCACCACACGTAGACCAGCTCCGCCTGCGCCACCACCACCACCACCAGCTCCGCCACGACCCATTCCCATGCCGGTCTCCATTGCAATGCCTGCTCCGCCTCTTCCAAGTTTTCCCCAGCCGCCCTCCGGAACTCCCATTACTGTGCGGCTCCCAGCTTTTGTGCCTGTACGTCTGGCTGCCGTGTTTACTCCGCCTGCCGGTGGTCAAACTGGTAGTGCTGCTCCGTCTGCTAACGGAGTCAGAGAGGCTGGAGGAGATGACTTGGCCACCGATGACGTGCCAGATGACGGCGTCAGTAGCCGACTCTTCCGCTTTATACCCATGGCAGGAGTTCGAACCAGGCCGCCATCCAATCCACAGGCCAGGCAGCAGTTTGTGGTGAGGAACACCCTGGACAGCGTGGATGCGGGCACAGCCCCCGTCAGGCAACAGGTTAAACCGGAAGTCCAGCCCAAGGCGCATCCTTCCATTCCCAAGTTCCCTGGCCACCCTCCAGCTCCCTTCTTCCGGCCCAGGTAAGCAGAAACGAGAGCGACCGAAATGGTCACCCTGCCAACCCGCTCATTCCGCTGTATCTTGCTCCAGATTTGGTGTGCCACCGAGTCTGGCCAACGCCCGCTTCGAGCTGGTGCCCTCCTCACAAATCATCGGCGACTGGCGGGAGTGATCCTGTGCAGCACCTGACTGACTGACTGCTCATGATTCCACTGAGTACCTTTAACAGTACCTTGTACCTTGCGGGGAACCAGCCAGGATCGAGCATTCGAAGGAGGCTGGCTTGTTAGACTGTTTCCACTGTCCCTTATACATATTATTTTATTGTGTTATATTATATTATTTTTTTGTGCCCAAATACAATATGCCATCAGTCATAGATTAGCTAAGACATGCTAAGATTGTCAATAGGTGCTGCTCCCGTATTTAGGCCCATTCCCAACCATATATACATATTTGAATTTCTTGTGCTTAAGAGCTCAGAGAAAGTAGAGATCAGTCATCAGTCCCGAGGGTATTCCACATCACATGCCATATCAATCTATTGCGTTCCTTGAATCACGAAATTGCCAAATTCAATTCAATCACATGTGAATGTACATAGTTCACTAGCAACCCAGGTCAGTCAATTTAAAACGTTAGCCTACAGTTTTTATATAACAGGCACGGAAATCTCTAGCAAAAGAGTTGATATTTTTATATTGAGGAGATATTCTTAATGTTCGGCTCCGCATCCTTTAATGCACTCTGCGGTGTGGGAGTGCCACGCCCGAACTTCCAGCGGTTAATTGAATATGTCGATCCCGAACCGGAGGACATGGATGAGGAGAATGCGATGATTCCAGTGTGGCGCCGGCAAGAGCTGAGTTCCGCCTCCTCGCTCAGTGAGATGCGCATACGCTGTCCAGAGGCCTTTGTGCGGGCCACCGTCGTGGGGGTAAATCCGGAAACCGGACAACCAGTCGTCCAGAGTATCACTTATCACCGCACACTGGGGGCAGGGCTCCTGGCGCCTCACCCATCGGTTAGGCGGCGTCCCAAGCTCACGGACATTCCCCAGGAACGCCTAAGTTGGGACTACCAAGCGCCAGACGAGAAACCAATCCCGGCTAAGCTGGAGGTCATCTGGCAAAGTCCTAGCCTCACCGGCTGCCGTGATCCCCGCAGGGTGCGTGGTCAGATGGACTTCGCTAAGCAGAAGGCAAAGGAAGGAAAGCTTCTGGATAGTGTTCCGGTGCGCAAGAAGGCGAAGAAGGTGCGGTCAAAGAAGGAGACAAGGAAGCTGACCCATGACAAGGCAACCTCCATGGCCGGCTTCTCCAGCCCAAAAACCGCAAGTAGATCCGTCCGAGCCGGTACTCGCTCTCCTAAAAGGAAATCGATCGGGAACATCGACACTGCATGCGTGCTCGACCTTGAGCTCAGACGTGTGCTGGCCAAGTACAGGGTATCTGCTAGCCAACTGTCCAAAAGACTGCATCGCCTTGTGCTGGAGGAGCTACCCGAGACCCAGGTGGAGGGCGGCAGGACCAAGATCCCGAACTCCAAGAAGGCCAGGGAACACAAGTGTGTCCGCGGTGCAACAATCACTTGGAGCACGGTCAGAACGTCCCAGCCAAAAGCGCTGGATGGTCGTGTGGCCAAGAATACGGAAGCAGTGCATTCCTGCGACTCCTCCGAAACCTACCACAGCTCCAGTCTGGCCACCGATTCCCAGGAAAACAACGAGCTGGCCACGGCCGCAGGTCTAACGGCGGCCTTCGTTCGGCGACATAAGCTGTTCCAGCTCCTGGCCAGTAAGCGATAGCCATGGATTCGATGTGCAGGGAGGGCGGCCATCAGTTGACCCCTGCTCCCAGTTCTGTAAATTTTGTAGTGAATAAAGTATGTACTTATGTATGTTTGTAAATGGCCCGGGAAGAATTTGTGCGAATTTCAATTTAATTGAATACAGTATTTAAATTCGCAGCTATCGATTACCGAGAAGTGAGCAGCGATTACTATCGAGATGTTCAATGCTCTTGAACGCTGACCAACACTGGCAGACGTTCCAGCACGCACACATACAAATGGCATGGTATGTGTATTTCCACTTATACGTCTCAATGTACCTTTTCTCAAATATTTCATTATATTCTTATTAAAGTCTCCGACTTCAGGTATGTAATTACATAACACACTGCAAGCGCCTTGCGTACTTGCCAAGCGCTTTAGTAATACCACTCCAGCACCTTCAAATTGGGCGAATGCGCGCGCTAGTGTGCCCGCATGCCGCCGCTGGCGAAATACCAGCCCCCAAACTAAAAGTCCATTTATATTAACGTGTCAGACCCTGGCTATGCAGCCCAATCGCAAAATCATTAAGTAGTATAGTAGCATACAAATTAGTTTCCCACTTGCACCATCCGCAGTCCATCCCAGGGCCACAACGCCCGCGCAGCCCTAGAAGTGTATAGCTCGAATGCGGAGTGGATCACACACACACCTGCCCGACTCGCCCTGTCATATTTTCCCGCCTTTTCCATGGCGATCGAGTTGTAAATTAGTCATTTTATTAATGTGTTTCAATCAACAACCGTGGCCGTGGTGTGGTCCTGGCTAATCGCAACGTCGCAGCGCTGTTCGTTCTGTCCTCTCGCCTGATCTTTTGTTGTGCTCCCCACAGAAAGGTGTATCGTGAGCACACACACACACACACACACGCACACACACACGCTCGCCCGCGCACACAAACACACGCCCTGGTCGTTTCGGCGGGAAACTACATTTTTATGTAATTTAGTGTAAATTCTCGTAAACGCAAGCAGTTACATGTCAGCGAGGAGCGCGGCGGCACGCGCAGCACACACCGGCAGCCACTAGGAGAAGGAGAAGTCAGAAGCAGCGCAAGGCCCGCACCGCCCACAGCAGCGTTGCGGTTGCTAGCCCCTACTCCGGCGCCCCCGTCTCCGCCCGTCGACTTCAGGCTGCCGCAAGAAGCAGTAGAAGCCGCGGAAAGCATCCGCAACTAGCCGGGACAGGAGAGCAGGGAAGCAGGGAAGTCATCCGCAGTCATGAGCGAGCCCGAGCCGCAGGAACTGGGCGCCGAGGTGGTCAGCGGATCGGTGGCGACCACCGACGACAGCCTGGAGATGACCAAGGCCATGTACGAGAACATGTGCCGGCAGCTAAACATGGACCGGCAGACAGAGCTGCTGGGCTACCAGACGTACCTCGAGGTGCGCCAGAGGTGCTCCTTGGAGGTGAGTTTCGTGGTCGTGGGAGTGCAAGTGCAAGTGCAAGAGGTAGCTTCCAGCCTAACGCCCTTTCTTTGTGTGTATTGCTTGGCCAACAGGGCGATGTCATCAAATGGCTGTGCTGCGCCTTGTACATGGTCTGCCGAAGTTCCAGCATACCCACGGTGGATAGCAAGGATGCGGTGGTGAGGGGCAACGGTGTGTCCTTGAACAATTTGCTGCGCTGCGGCCATATGAGGTGGGTTAATGTTCAAGCCCGCAGTTCACGAACTAACCATTTTTTTACATTTCCAATCCCCAATCCTCAGCATATATGACTTCATGACCAAAATTAAGCAGTGGTGCGACATGGCTAACCTGCCTCAACAGTTTGTCAACGAGATCGAGACTCTGGAACGCAAGTTCGGCATCACATTCACTCTGTACAAGCGTTACCGCACCATTTTCGACAAGATCTTCTCGTGTCCGCCCAACGAGAAGAAGCACTGCAAGTACGTGTGCGTATATCATCGTGTCCACCTGACCCCGTGCAAATATAAAGCTTCCCTCTTCGGAACAGCTCTCGGCATGGCAACCACGCCCATGGGAAGTGCTCGTACATCAAGCTGCACGACATCTGCTGGCTCCTCTTCCTCTGCGCCAAGAACCAAAAGCCGAGCCACACCGTGGACCTGGTGACCTCCTTCAACCTGATGATTTGCTGCATAGACCTGATATACAACAATGTGCTGGCCGAGAAGCGCACCGATCTCATCAACTCCAAGTTCGAGGGTTTGCCGAGCAACTGGACGGAGCTGGACTTTCGTCACAAACCGCACTGCATTCTGGACTATTTCTGTGACATGACCGAGGAGGCTAAAGCCATGAAGGCCACCACCTTCCGCCAGATCATGTCGAGCTTTTTTCAGGCTTCGGTAGGTGTGACCTTAGGGCTTTCCAGTAAAGAAATTAATTTGCTCTGTTTTCAATCCGAACAGACCATCTACGGCAAGAAGGACACCATGCTGGGCCTATTGGCTAACGAAAACCTCGAGCGCAACCTCAAGTCCCTTAACATCAGCTACGAGCAGTACGTCTTGAGTGTTGGCGAGTTCGACGAGCGCATCCTGAGTGCCTACGATGCGGGGGAACACACCGTCCTCAACGACCAGTCCCTGCGTCCGCCGGTTACCCCTCTCACCCGCAAGCAAGACCTGCCTGCGCAGCCCGCTATGGCCGGCGATAAATTCGAGCCCGTCCGCAACGCCACCAACAACGTGAAGCAGCTGATCGCCTTCGGACGGATCACGGAACCCACGGACTTTGTCAAGTAAGTAGGCCGGCTGCCCTTGCATTTGGGTGTCGAATTTTCCCCAGTACTATTCAAAACGTGTGTTGGTTTACTTGATCGCCGTATCAATCGTGGGAATATCATATTTCGTCAGCCCACACAAAACGCGAAAAATTGCTTTTGTTCAGCTGTGACTTGTATCCTAGACTGATTTCTACAGCTCCATTTTTTATCATTTTTCTTCCTCAGACAAGCTGGCGAAGAGGTAATCGCCAAGCTGCTGAGCATCATCGAGGACATGAAGCAGAATTTTCTCGCCAAGTATCCGTCAACGGAGGCGAGGAGCCGCTTTCGACTGGCGAAGTCCTTCTACTTTTACCTGCTCAACCAGATCCTGCAGGCGGAAATTCATAACAAGCCCGACATCGATCTCAAGCGACTGCTGGTGCAGAAGATCTCCCTGGACATCTTCAACATCACGCTGATGGCCTGCTGCGTGGAGCTGGTGCTGGAGGCCTACAAGACGGAGCTCAAGTTCCCGTGGGTGCTCGAGTGTTTCAGTATTAGTGCGTTCGAGTTCCAAAAGATCATCGAGATCGTGGTGCGGCACGGCTCGCACGAGGGCTGTCTGAACCGGTCGCTGATAAAGCACCTCAACTCCATCGAGGAGACGTGTCTGGAGCGAATGGCCTGGGCGCGGAACTCGACCGTCTGGAGTATGATCGCCTCCGCCCAACTGCCGTTGCCCACGTGCCTCATGGTTGACATGGACCGCTCCGCCGGCGCCCTTCAGATTTTCCTACGTAAGGTCTACTTGCTTGGCTGGCTGCGCATCCAGAAGCTGTGCATGGAGCTGTCGCTCAGCGAGGAGACGCATGAGTACATCTGGCACATCTTTGAGCACTCGATTACCCACGAGACGGAATTGATGAAGGACCGCCACCTCGATCAAAATATTATGTGCGCAATATATATCTACATAAGAGTGAGTAGCACCACTGCGTTCTTCTATCTCTGTCCGATTCGCTGGCCTGCACACCCCACTTCCACTTCCACTTCCAACGTCCGTCTGCACCTCTTCAGCTGTCCACTCATAATATCCGATTCCGATTCCAATCCGCAGGTAAAGCGAATGGAGGACCCCAAGTTCAGCGACATTATGCGGGCATATCGTAACCAGCCGCAGGCGGTGAACAGCGTCTACCGCGAGGTGTTCATCGGCATCAACGCGGACGGCGAGCCAGAGGTGAAGGACATTATTCACTTCTACAACAGCACATACGTGCCGGTGATCCGGCAGTTCGCCATCGACTACCTGAACGTGACGCCGGACGTGAGTGGCCGGATTTCGGACCTGCAGCTCTCCCCGCATCCGAAGGAGCGGGCCGCCCAGCCCAAGAAGGTGACCCAGAACCACTCGCTATTCGTGTCGCAGATGTCCAAGAACGAGATACAGCAGTCGCCCAACCAGATGGTGTACAGCTTCTGCCGTAGCCCCGCTAAGGTAAGTACGTGGTTCAGACAGAATCTGTTCTGTTCCTGCACATCTTCAAAATCTTCAACATCTTAATCGATGAATCCTCTTGCTATTCCCGCAGGACCTCCAGGCGATGAACGAAAAGGTGCGCGGCGGCAAGCGCATGCTCAGCTTTGGCGACGAGCCCGGACTAGGCGGCATTGTGGAGATGAAGCGCGCGCGCCTCACCCAGATCAATGCCGTCATGGACGACCGGTGTCTGCAGTCTGCCGAGCAGCGGCCTGCTGTAGCCACGAAGGCGGGCGTCGGGTGCGCAGGAGGAGAACACGAGACATAGACACGGGGCTTATGGGGACAGATTAGACTTAGGGCTTTTACAAAACAAAAACAAAATCCACAATAACTTCAAAATCCGGCGCCGAAGGCCGCGCTTTCTGCACATTGGCCGCTCCGGCGCATGCTCGACTATTTTATGATTGTTTTTTTTTTAAATATTAGCTCTTTATTTGACATTTTAACTTAAATCCAATTGTAACCAACTATATTATTGCTTCCCTTTTTATTTTGCCTAACGCCGGCCAACCATATAAATCATATGCTAACCCAATATTTGGAAATAATTGTAGTATATTTGAATATTTGATCACCACGCACATCCATCGATCCCGGTCACGGTTCCCCGAATGCTCCGCATCCTGGTGGGCCGCGATCTCTAAATCACTAACAAGTAAACAAATCAAATTAAGGCAATCCACATTATATATAAAAGCTTATATACAAATATACTTTATACAAATTGATATTGGTTGTGTCGATATTTACGGATCTTTGTGGGCGATGGTTGGCCACCGACGAAGATGGTGTGCCGGGCCGCTGAAAATCTCTGTATGAAATGCCAACTTTACAAGTTCCAGGCACCAGGCGAA